GTAGTTTATGGTCAACGTCGCAAGTACATCCTCAATCTGATCGCCGATCTGCAGTCAAATCTGATGTGTGGTCAGGCAAGAAAATCGAAAGAAAGGAAAACGAAAAGAAATCATCTCGATTTTTAGACGCAGTTTGGGAGTAAGGAAACTCAAAATAAGACTGAAATTTTAATATGTTTAGGGTGTTTCTTTTAAGATGCATCAACTTGCCATGCTTGAAGGGTGCCGTGCTGGGCTTAGTCATTGCATTGGCCATTACAGCGATTCTTTTAGGTGTTACCTTTGGTGTCTTGTTGAAACGAAATCAAGCAGGCAAGTGGTTCCGCGTGAATGATATATTTCTGAGCACACGGAACTGATTCTAAATAATAGTTTTCACTTCGAAGCCAAAGATGTTCTTTTCGAAAGGTGGGTTAAGAAATGAAATCATTAAAATGTTCGGGGGAAAGCTCAAATGCATTGTAGAAACTTTCACATCATTTCGGATTTTATGTAGTGATCAGCGACGTTTCCACAACTTCAAGCACATTATCCGTTTCGACCATTTTATCAACTTCGTTCACAACCACTAGTAAGCTTTATTTTAATTTTCCAGAAATTTCTGCAATACATAAATCAGAGAAGGCAGAAAACCGACACAGAAACAATCCATTTTTAATATTAGAAAATCATTCCTTAGTGGAACAAATGCGACAGTTTGAGCTTAATACGAAAAACTAAGTCAATCATAAGGTATTTTGATAATCACATTATTGTAGAAAGTTTGTTTGAAACTGTCGCCCTACATTTGGTTAACCAAAAAGGCCAATTGTATTAGAAAAATTCTAAGCTTCTTATTTTCTAAATTCACCGTCTTACGGAAAAAAACAACGGTCTATAAGGTTTACGAGGAAACATATCCAACTGTTACCTCGAGTATTCAGCCAAAGCCGTTGGATTATAGGTAATCGACCACGCTGATCCGGAAATTGTACATGAAAGCTCCCACTAGGCCTTAAAATATCCGGTTTTCTAGAAAACTGGTATTTCAGAAACTCTAAAAAAGAACCAAAACCTTTCTTAACGAGGCATAATTGCAGCACGTACATTTCTGATTAAAACTAGATGTCTCCAAACTCTATATGACCTGTCTTTGCAAAGTTATAGAATTTATTAGAGAAGCCCTAAATGTTAATCGTCAGTTGCAAGCTACAGAAATAAGAAAAAACTAATTTAGGGCTTTTCTTGTAAATTCTCTAACTTTGCAAGGAAAGGTCGTGTAGAGCTGGGAGATGTCTCATTTTAACCAGAAATTTGCCGGCTACAATTATGTCTCCTCAAGAAAAGTTTTGATTGTTTTTTAGAGTTTCTGAAAAACTAGTTTTCTATAAAACCGGATCTTTGAACGCCTAGTGGAAATTTTCATGTTTATATTCGGAATCAGCGTGGTCGGTTACCCATAACCCACCGGGTTTGGTTGAAAAAGTATGGTAATAGTTGGATATGTTTCCTCGTTTGTTTTATCTAGGTTTGTGCGTTTTATCGTTTGAGAAGGGCTTCGGCAAAATCGAAAGCTGTGCATGCTGTTGATTTCGGAATTGTTGTTAGTTTTGTCTAATTTGCATAAATCAGGTGATTATAGTTTAGTAAAAATTTCTTTTTTTATTTTCCACACTCATTCAGTGAAAGTAGAGAAAATTCTTTTTGAAAAAAATTACAATACTGGAGTACGTAATAGATTATTACTTTTAAAAAAGAAATTTATATTATTTTGATAATAAGAATGGTTCTGTATCATATACAATAGAAAGAATAGAAATTAGCTTAAGAATAAAATTGTTTATCAAACGAATGCAAAGAGAAGCAAAGAGAATTGCTTGTTCTCTTTCCTTTCTGAATGTGTCCCTATATCCCACGTACAGATTGCTATATGGGATATTAAAAAGAAGCAGATAAAGCGCTACACATTAAAGCTCTATTCGCCTTGTGTTTATGTATCCTGCAACATATCAATTCTTGTTTCTTACTTCAGTCACTCTTTCAAAATTGCAACATTTCTTTCCAATAACTGAAAAGCTTATCGTCGCCATGTACAATGATGAAATCAGCAAGTTCAGTTACCCAGATATAGAATCTTTCTTTTATGGTCGAAGAGGAAACGGATTAAAATACAATGCAATATAGCGAGGAATTAAAGTTCGTTTTTATACGGAAAGGGGTTTTTCAATTCATCCCGAATTATATGAGTTTTCAAAAGGATTTTCGAACCGTTTGAAGTTTTCTAGCATACGCGTTGTTTTTAGGCTGTACTCAAGTATTGGACAATTCGTCATTAGTGGCATACTTTTCATTTGATAATGGCTCATTGAGCAATGCAGCTGGCTTACCAAATTTCTATCCTCACGCTACAGGTCAGACAACAATACCCGGTCATCTTAACCAAGCATTGTTATTTAATGGAACAACAAGTTCATATTTTCAAATTAGTAATGTGAGTGTAGTAGGAACAGTCAACCAACCGTTTTCAATCTCCTTATGGATTAAGTCGGCTGCTTTAACTGGAACGATTATTCATGTGTCTTTGACTTCATTAGGTAACACAAAATTCTGGCGCTGCGTCTAGACTGTTCAAATATCCTCACACTGAAAGAGTTTTTAAAGAGAAAAACTATTGCTTCTTGTTTCAGGTCTGGATGGTTGGTGTTTGCCATTTATTGGTTTTGATGCATCATCAAGAATAAGTGATCAATTATGGAATGGTACAATGGCTGTAGCTGCGATTGGTCCAATTCCTTCAGCAAACACATGGATCCATGTTGTTCAAACATTCAGTACAACAAACGGTTTAAAACTTTATATTAACGGATATTTCTATTCAACTACGTCTTCAACAGTAACCCAATTTATAGCAAGTAGTTCATCAATGTACATGACTATAGGTAGCCCTCGAAGTGCTGCAGCACCTGGCTGTACAATCACGAGCGTACTGCCATTGAATGTCTCTTATTCAGGTAGTGTTGATGAATTAAAAATTTACGCTAGAGAATTAACGGCACTAGATGTTTGTACACTTTATGAGTATTATTAACGAAATGTTTTATTAATCATGAAGGAAATAAATTCTTTTATTTAAATATTTTGAACACCTATGAGTTTTATTCGAAGTTCTTTAGATAAAGATCAACAAAACTTACTGTTGCAGGCTTTTGCCTCTTAATACCTTCTTTTTTGTTTTTCCCATTTTTTTGTAATTGGCCGTTTGTAAATACTTTGTATCTCAATGTATCACATGATTCTGGCATCGGCGAGCTCGTACCTCCCTGTTCCTTTCCTATCTAACATTTGAACTTTGTGTTATTCTTTATTTTAAATGAAGCCAGCTTTGTTGACAAATTTGCAAGATGTCGGTGGAATCCACGTTTTTCAGAACTTTCCGTAAAATTTCAATATCTCAGCAACCATACAACTTTTTGACTTCCTAGATCCACTGTCACGCGGCGGAATCGAGCGAACGCTATGATATCCCCCATATCGCGGCACGTTCGCGATGAAATCTTATATTCGCGTCGCGATCGCTATAATGTCGCGGCGTGATCTTGATCAACTCTTACTTTCAAAAGAACTCTTTTTTAAGAGTCACTGCGGGATATGTTATCGCGCCGCAATCGCTATAATGTCGCGAAGTCACGACAGGACTCTAAATTCTGCGTCAGTTGGATTCTTAAGAATTCATGTAAGTTTTTTCTTAGCGCGATCACCACCATATCGCGATTTCGTGAAGCGATTCACGTCACGAAATTTTATTGATGGATATATTTAGTCATTTTTTTGAATTCCAAGAACGCAAAAGAATTCTTTTTCTCTTATTTCAAAGTGAAGAAAAGTGAAAAATTTATATTTCGTATATACAAACAGATAGTCCACACACAGTGGGGAACAACGTGGACATTTGGGAAAAAACGAAAGTAAAATTTTTCCAGATTTAAATAGTAGGTTATATACCTCAGCAGACGCTCTATCTTTTTGCCATTGCAATATTTTTTCTAAGTGCCATCATACGTGAGAAAATCGCTAAGCAAATTTTTGTCGAAAAACATAGTGATGAAGATAGAAAATTTATTTTTATCAGAACACAACACGATATCTGGAAACAAAATACACAGTTTAAAACTAGACTATTCACTCTGTCCACTCGTAAAAAAAATTTTTTTTGTAGGACGCATTGGAATAGAAAAAATCGATTTTCTTCTTTGCTAACGAGAAAAAAACAGATTCGTATGTTCCAAGGAACATACCGTATAAAAACGGTTAAGACACGTGCCTATTGAACTTTCGGTCTAGACTCGTTTCTATCAATTATATGTGGAGGAAAAGAAGATAAAAGACAAATGGGTTTTATTCAAAAACACATCTAAGTCTCAACTGTTTTAGGTCAAAGATCCTCCATTCGGAAAACGCTTCGACGCTCTTTTAGTTTAAATGCTTGTTCAAATGCAGATAAATTAATGTTGGATACGTTTCCCTTTATTTTAAAAATAAACTCATCAGCAATTGAAAAATCTGAAGAACAAAAAGCGAAAGAATAAAAAAATATATAGAACAAACAAACGAAAAACAAATACAAAGAAAGAAAAACCTTAAAGATAAAAATGGAGAGAATCAACTGAATAGGCTTTATGCCGAAAAAAATAAAAAATCCCAAAACACACACACACCACACTACCAAAGAAACAGCACCTTGGTCGTGGCCGTGACTAGATGACTGAGGCTGTTTCTGATTTGTTGGCTGTGGTTGCTGTTGGTTTACGGTCACCTGCACTCTTTCTCGTCGTAAACGACGTTTTGTCGAGTTACTCAACTGTGGTGCCGACAGTCAAATCGAATCGACTGGATCCAGAAAATATAAAATTGACTGGGGGTATTATATTAAGGTAGAGTTTCTAGATATAAATATTGAAAATAGTGATGGGACGCTAGTGACTCGTGTTTTCATAAACCTTCACACGAACCATACTATTTACCCTTCTCGAGTATACACCTCCTTCACTTTAAAAGGATATAATTCAGATTGACTACGAAAAGACTTTGTTGTTCCATTTCACTTACTCTGAAGGGATGGATAAGTTTACATCCCACTTTCACCGACTATGGCGCGCATACTTTTCAGAAACGTCGCTCAATGCGAGTATTCCTAAGGTAGGCTACCGAAATGCGCCAATTTTGCAGAAACGCTTAGTGACAAAGAAACCCGACATGATTTTGCATTGAAGCATTGTTTTTGAACTGAAGCATTGATTTTGCATTATTCCATACATTTTATATTGATCGTGCATTCGTTTTGCATTACAGCAGCATTTTCCATTGATACATTACGTATGCATTGATCATGAGGTCCATTGCAGCTACAAAGGACTTCGATGACTTATAAACTCTAGAAAATATTTAAAGACTGTGAAAAGTAAGGCTATTGAAGGTTTCTCGAAGTTCTGTTTTTTTGCAAAACCTACCTGGAAAACTCCAAACCTTTCAAACACATTTCTAGCGTATGCAGTATTGCTTTTTACCTAGAAAACCATAATAGCAGTTCTCCAGGTGGAAATACCACTGGGTTATGGGCTCATTAGTGAGAAAGGACTTGTCCGTTTTGGCAACATTTTAGTAAAAGTCGAATAACTTTTAAACGAAAACGTTTTCGAAAAAAGTCCTTTGTTGTTTTCCAGCTTGTTCTCTGACGCACCTAGCCATGCCAAAGTTTCGGGGCTACAACCTTCCACAAAATCCGTGAAACCCTTGCAAGCAGAGGGTGTCTCGATTTTGGCCCGTACTTTAACTGTGTTATCAAAAGCCCAGTTTTAGAACTAGAGCTTCGGAAAGTACATGAATAGATTCAGTTTTCAACTCTGAATCAAAATATCCCAGTTACAAATCTCTATGATCTTAGGGGGCCAAACTACGGAGCTTTTCCGAAAACGAGCATTTTTTGGGGTTTTGACTACCTCTCGGTATTTTGATGATATCTCGGCAATGAAACGGTTTTCGCGGTCGGGGTGGCGATATTCGTGATCTCCGTTGAATTCTCTACCGAACGGTGTACACATAAACGAAATCTATTTTTTACTGCAAATGTTCCTTACGAGCATCTTACCTGGAAAATCTGACAGTTTAGGAAAAATATCTCAGAATCTTGACCGATGCCCTGTACAATCACTTGTTCAGGGAATAAAGAGAGAATTCTTCTCGCCAAGTATCGAACTTGGGACCTTCTGCGTGTTAAGCAGATGTGATAACCACTACACCACGAGAACACGATGTAGTCATGCCCAGTAAAGCTCTTTACTGACACTGGCAGTGTTCAAAATATTGACTGACGTGTCGGATTCCGTTCATTTATCTTCACAAACGCCGAACAACAAAGCGTTGAAGTAGTGAAATCGCTCAATCTAGAATGAAATGACATTCAATGAACGAGAATATGTCAGTATCGTTGTTTTGAGATCAATATATGTTGCTGAAACGACTGAACTTGATATACGAGTTTGTCTACTTGAATAAAATCTAAAACGAAACTTGGCACGGTCAGAAATAAATTTGTTTCTGACAAATTCCGGAAGAGAGCAACAGAAAAAGATTGGATGTTCGTTAAAATATAGTTTATTGTCTTTTCTTTTGTAGTATAGCATATATATTTATTATATTTTCTATACGTCTTAACAACAACAACAAGCATACTATACCACTTTGTTTGCACATAACGAATAGAGTGAGAGAGAGTGTCATGATCTTTTAGTAGAGAAAAAGCTGTAAACAAGTAATAACAAGAAAAAGAGTGCAAGTTGCTCCCGAGATGATAGCCGCAGCACAATAGAAGAATATTTATTTTAACCACTCACTCGCACCATGTATCTGTAAGGTCTGTCATTTACTGTTGTACTCAGTACTACTTTAAAAAACGTTAACTGAGTATAGAAGGAGAAGCCGCTACACTCAGTGACATAGGATATTCTATATGAATGGGTCCTTCTCTATGTTAAACAGCAGATACCGAAACTCGTTCCGAACATCCAGTCTTTTTCTGTGTCGAACATCCCTTCTTTTCTGTTTCAAACTTCCGGACATATCTGCTACGATCTTCGGACACACCGGTCTTGTATAACTTATGTTTTCGTTACGAACATCTGAAAAAACGATTTTGTGCTATATAGACCCGATTCCGAACATCTCGTCACTTGGTCGGATGTCCGGAAGACCAAGGACGAAAAAGGACAGCCCTCATTCAGTTGAGCAAAACAAGTGCGACGAGCCATCAAACTAAATTACTATCCATTTCAAAATATAGTGACTACGGTTGTTTCTTGAATAACCTTTGAAACGGATAAACTTTGGACGTGCGATTTTCAGATTATGAAAGAGGATATCCGAGGACATAATTCTGTGTTAAAATTTCAAACTCTTAGAATTCATTAACTATGACTCGTTACATGTGTCTAAATCCTAAAAAGCGCTTGCTGCGGAAGATCTTGGCTAGGCGTTAAATTTTTATGTTTCGGATTGCTCAATTCAATGAAACCCCTCAAATCAAACGTATTTTAAAAGTCTAAAGTATTTTCGCTAAGAAATAATGATGCTGTGAGTTCTTTATTCGTGGAAAATCCAGTTTTTCAATTTTGGTTTTGTATTGAACGAAAATTTGAGATCAGTTTGACCATTTATATGCTCTAAATGAAAGTCCACCCCGCATCAAACTCAGAGTCAAAAACAAAGATCTCAAGGGCTTTTTGTGCCACTTGGGTCGATGGTTTGTTTGACTGTTGCCGTTGTCATTGATAATCCATATTGGACGATAATGTTTGATAAAAATGTTTAAAGCAGAAGAAGAAGAGATGCTAACTGTTCAATTTCGGTAATGTAAATTGTATAGAACACATCTATTTATACTGTTTTAATCTTCTCTACTTCTCTTTATATCCAAAATGGTCTGATTCGGCAGCTGCTTGAGAAAGCCAATTTTGTTCTAACAGACTAATATGACGTTCCCTTGTCTAAACAATACATATTTATTCTCAAGACTTTTCGTCCATTCAAAAGTG